CTTTGCTGCTGCTGCTGCTTTGCTGCTGCTGCTGCTTTGCTGCTGCTTTGCTGCTGCTGCTGCTTGCTGCTGCTGCTCGGCTGCTGCGGCTGCTTCGCTGCTGCTTGTCTGCTGCTGCTGCTGCTTGTCTGCTGCTGCGGCTGCTGCTGCTTGTCTGCTGCTTGTCTGCTGCTGCTTGTCTGCTGCTTCTTGTCTGCTGCTGCTGCTGCCTGGCTGCTGCTGCCTGGCTGCTGCTTGTTTGTGGTTGTCCGCTGCGGCTGCTGCTGCTGCTGCTGCTTGTCTGTTGCTGCTGCTGCTGCTGCTTGTCTGTTGCTGCTGCTGCTTGTTTGTTGCTGCTGCTGCTTGTCTGTTGCCTTACTGCTGCTTGTCTGCTGCTGCTGCTGCTGCTTGTCTGCTGCTGCTTCTCTGCTGCTTCTTGTCTGCTGCTTCTTGTCTGCTGCTGCTGCTGCTGCTTGGCTGCTGCTTGGCTGCTTGGCTGCTGCTGCTTGTCTTTGGCTGCTGCTTGGCTGCATCAAAAGAGTGGAGACATGTCATGGCGGAGCTGTGGCGGATGTACTTTGGTACCTCGTCCGCCACCTCGTCCGGTACCTCGTCCAAGCCACCCCTTCGTTTCCTGCTCTCCAATGGCTGCAGACCTATATATATATGGCAAGCACAGGTCTTTGCAGTACATGGCTCAGCCATCGAAGGCAGCTGCATAGGAAAGGGAATATTGCAAAATCCATTTGATCGTCGTGGCTTGACCATTTGCTTACTTGAGCATGTGTCTTGAACCCTTTTTTTACCACAGCAGCAGCAGCAGCAGATTCAGGATTCCTTGCCGCAGCCTGATCTAGATCATTCAGGCCGCGGCAAGGAATCCTGAATCAGGCTGCTGCCACAAATCCTCGACAGAGTTGGTTGCTGTGGTTATGTAGGGATTCAAGACACATGCTCAAGTCAGCCAATGATCAAACCACAACGATCACGAAGCCACACTGGAGCATGCACATGGATTAGTATCAGTGCTTTGGGGAACCGTACTTGGTGGAGTGGATCATACGGCGTCCCATGGTGAACTCAGTCAAGAAACATACCAATTCCTTCGTTTCCTGGTCATTGTTGGATGTGCGTCCACATGCTGGAATACAGTTTTCTGAGGCGTTCAAGTAAGATTAAACGATAGAAACAAACATAGTTTTATCGCTGCGTCCTGATGGTGATCTACATGTTTTTGCATTGACTTGTTTGACTTCCTGAATGCGCGGCGTCTCATGTGGAACTGGCGTGGTTTCTGAAATTGCTTTGACTTCTGCGGGCCGGTGTATATACAGTAGCCTTCCGGGTTGCGTCCCAAGGCGGCCTTAAACCCTTCAAGGACACAACAATCAGTCATTTGGTAGTGGATTAAACTGCCCCAGAGGCCAGAGAATTCCCAACAAGCGAGCAGAGGCATAGTCCGCTGGGTGATCTTCGTTCTGGTTTCGGCCTGCTTTACCTTGAAAGGCCAATGAGGCCCACGAGCCATGTTTTACATCCACAGAAACTACAGACACTCATGGTGGGCATCGGCCCTCAATCATGCTGGCTAATGTAATTGGTCACTTCAGTCACTTATGATGCCAACATCAAGCAATATGTTCTCTTCGCGCATTGGTTCTGTTGCCAAGAGCAAACATGCTGGATCAACAGTTTTCTCGGCTTTCTGTTGTTACTAGAACATCTGTCATTGATCGTGGATGCACATTTTGGCCCTCAGGGTGAACCAAGAGATAGGGATGTTGGTCCCAGGATTCGATTGGATTGTGCAGGTTGATTTTCTCCTGCAAACCACCCAAGTGACAATGTTTGCACCGACCTGTTTTTGCTGCCGTGACTCCACGTCTTGACACATTGCTTCGTCTAATTCGGAGATTCGGCATAGGTCACACTGGACTTTTTGCCGCTGGTGCTGCCCTGTGAAGCAGGGTCCATTTGGTCTTCCACAAGTGCTTGCAGCAAACTTGAGGGATAGGGTACCAGGGCGCCTGGATGGACGTGAGACGCTCACCAAACCTTAAAGGAGTATGGTTGTGAAGCGAGACTCTGCACGTCCTTTGAAGATACAGATCTTGTATACATTTAGACAATCCATGACAATCCCTCGTGTGTTTGCATTGATTCATTAGCACTTCCGGCTGATTGCCTACCGCCGGCCTGAATTCAAGCATGTTGCTGGGAGATGATACAGCCTGAGGCATCCATCACAGCAGAAGTGAGTACAATTGCAACATGATTGACGTGCTTGTTTTTTGAGTCAAACAAAAACTATATGATTCTGATGCAACGTCACACAGACCGTGAAGGTCATGCGCAACGATCCCTCTCTCTAGCGATTTGTTATGATTTGTTCCCCACGTGTCAGGTGAGGGTTGTTAGGTTGTTAGACTTTCGCTTGGCAGCGTTCCCTGCCCGACCTGCCGGACCTCAACCGCGAGCTCCGCGTGACATAACTGGTTTTGACTGGAGCGGTCCGACTGCCCCAAAAACTTATGATCTATGATTCTGGTCACTAACTGACATGTTTTGGCATGCTTGGCTGCTGAAGCCCTTTGATGTCCGCTTCAGGTGTCTAACTGATTCCAGGGGCTCATGTTAGCCTCTTGCGACGCAGTCTTTCCAGCCTTTTCAGAAAAAGTGGCTCACCCCAGTATTACTGTATACTATATAGGTCGATAGCCGATAGTATAGTAAAGTATCCACACATTTTGGGGCCGCCAACCACCTACCTCCCTGTCAGACTGGACCAACTGACTGCCTCACTACCAGGGTCGCACCACTTGCGCAAGTGAGATGGATATTTAGAATGGAATACATCATTCACTCCTTGCTTGTAGAATAATAGCTATTTGACATGTTCATGGATCCAATGCCTCAGATGACCGGTAGCTTCAGCTCTTCATGACCCGTGGCTTTGATCTCAGCAGAACATCTTGGCGTGTGATACCGGTGTTCTTGGCGTATCACACTTTTGCGGGCACAGGAGGGGGCTGATGGGGCTGTGGTGAGTTTGAAACACCCGCAACACAGACCTTCTGATTCTGAGGCTAACAGTTTCCTGGTTCCTTGGAGCTCCGGGTGTTCATGAAGTACCACTTGGGGATCCTGGTGTATCATCATGTATCATGCAGGCACTCAGATGACTTGTGTTGGCCATGGTTCGATCAGGTTCAGAATCAGAACAATGGTTGTTCAACAATCTCCGAGTAAAAAGAGCAGTACTCTCACCAAAAGCGTGCCATACCACGGGGTAGCTTCAGGGCATCAACATTAGTTGCACACACACATTCATCATGCGAGATGGTCATTTGGGGGAGTGCCAAAACTCACCACTGATTTTGACTACTTGTTCTCAGGGGTGCCAGGGTGCTCAGTGCTCACACTATGTCCACCTCCTGCCCCGCCGTAAGTCAGAGAGTGAGAGGAAGCCGACCTGGAGATGGGGAAAGTCGAGAATTCGTAGTTGTTCAAAATGGTCAATTGTACACCAGTGGTGCACCCGTAGATCCCATTTGCATCGTTTGCATGTGTTGGTTGCTTTCTTTTGTTTTCCCAACTTCAATCAGAAACAATTTTTACCCGATGTGACTGATACAGACTGATACACACTTAGTGGAGGGTGTACTTTGTTGGAGTGCTGACTCTTAGTAGACTCAGTAGACTTAAGCACCGACCACCTGACTTCTACTCAAGCCGTCTTAACATCTGACATATATATCCGAGCTTACACGACAGCCTTGTGCCCGTCGTAGTGAGGTAGATAGTAGATAGCCACCACATGTGGATACAGGTTTGTTTGACTCTTTCTGTTGGTGTTGGAATCTTATGCAGTGTCCATGTCGGTTGAGAGCAATGCTGATAGATAAAGGCCGTCATTGTCGACCCCTTGAGTCACTTGAGGCTGGACATTTGTTAATTTTGTACAGGCTACTTTGGATGAGTGAGTTCTGTTGCTTTCTTTTGGACATCGTCTGAACTTGAAGTGGATAGAGAGTGGCATGTTCCTGACAGCTTGCGTCCGGGAGGATAAGAGGCGTATGCTGATGCTCCTGGCGTGTTTGATGTCCCTGACAAGGTGACAAGTTGCTTTTGTTTCAAGAGCTCCCTTAGTCAAAAATCCATGAACATCATGAAAGTTTGAGAACGAGCTCAATCTCCAGGTGGTCACAGGTGGCACCCTGCCAAAGGCAGACAGGCGGCCAGAGCATGGCTGCTTCGGGGGGGGTTTCAGTCCTTGTCGTTCTGCTCCGCGGATTAAGCAAATGGCCTCCAGCCTACTAGTGATGGCCTCCAACCTCCAACCTAATATCGATTATGGAGAAGGCATAGAATCGGCAAATGGTGTACATTGCAAAGTATGAGGACACTCCCGCTCCCCAAAATCTGGAGTGTTAAAACTCTACTGTCCTGTTAGTATCCTATTGTCTATCCTGTCGGCCATTTGTATGACAACTGCATGTATTGTCCTGACTCCGGCCAAAGAATGGGCGTCTAGGGTCCTTTCCCCTTGTATGTTTTCTGAGTGGGAAAGGGCACTCAAGTTCCTTTCAGAGCTTTCTGCGGTTTGAAGTGGCTCTTCTCCGTTGCCTCATCTTCTGTAGCGCCCTCCGGGGTTTTGCACAGGATGGACTTAGGCATCCTAAAAAGTAGACGATGAGACATTATACTGTATATCTATCGGCGTTGGCCAAGGGTCCAAGAAGTTCACTTCCAGGGAGGGGTGCCGGCTCTGTTTGGTAGGATTGCCTTGGATGGCAACGTGTGTTGTGTGCAAGCCCTACTTGGGATGCCTAGTTTATATGATTCGCATTTTGGATCCGAACTTCGCACTGATTTCGCACAGTAAATGTCCTATTGAGGGTTTATGTTGCCCAAGGCTCCTCTTGTGTGCCAATATAATGTGTTGAACGCCATGCCGCCATGCCAGTTAAACAGGAGCATGTTCGTCTAAGAGTCTAAGGTCCGTAGAAAACCGACATTTTGTTGAACTGAGTGATGCAGAGCTCCAATAATTCAATAGGCAGGAAACATCCAAAGACAAAAGGATGCAGTACCCAATAAGTGCCAATAATGTCGTTCCCAGTGCTTGGTACTCTGGAACCTCCTATATAGCACAGCTGTTGAAACCCATGAAATGCATGATTTGGTAGGCTTCTGGAGAGTGTGGCTTGAGCGGAGAAAAGGGGGCAGATCCTTCAAGGCTTTGCAGCATGTTTCATCTTTTTGCCATAAATTGTATCAATATTATTATGATGTTGTCATGCGCTACTTATGTCAGAGTCATAGTCATAGTGAACTTGAAGCCGAGCGCATGATTGCATGCGCATAATATAATATATATATACAAAACATTAGTTCTCCAAACTAAGCGGTTACTTGAGAATCATTAGCTTGTCAATCATACCAACCTTGTTTGCAGTACAAACTTTCTCAACCACAGCTGCTCAGCTTAAGTCAACATGATCAGCAGATATCAGCAGCGGGTACGAAGATCCTGGAACAACGGCTTTGGGAGTCTTCAAGAATGTCTCATGTACATTTGCCACCTGGCCCCCTCAAAAGATCTACTAGCTTACACCTGTTGTGTCCCCTGCAAAAGGTTGCTCTTGAACACACTCTCGATATGACTCTTTCGGATGAGTTGCCAACATCTGGTTTTCCCATGTTGGACCTCTTCACCATTCTTCCGCTTGGCTGCCACTTTAGAACATTTTACAACATTAATCCATACGCTCGCAGTTACCAGCGTCGCCATGCACTTCAACTTGGGCGTCGGAGATGCTGTGGTCATGGCTGTGCTCTTTGGGTTGACGGTCGCCAAGGGATCCTTGGAACTCTGAGGGACCGATTTTTGGAACGGGACTGCGAACGGTTGTTTTTGTTCCGTAGCTTCCCAGAGAACACGTTTTTGCAGTAGTTACTGCAAATGTTCATATGAGGGCAAATGCAGCATGGTTGTGTGCGTTTGTTCAACTGAGTCATAATCCGTTCATACCTTTCTGGTCGTTTCTTCTATACTCTTGTAATCTCTTGTACGTACAACTACAGAAATACTTAGAGAGAGAGAGACAAAGCAACGAGACCCCTTGTTGACAGCTGTGCTTTCAAGTGAGAGATTGCACCAAGAACCGGAGACGTGTTGGATAGAGCCGATGAGTTCTCCCACTGGTCGGAGGTCTTGCTTGTATGGAAGAGTGGCTCCCAGGTGGTGCTGTCGTTCTCCAAGATCTGAGAACTAACTCCACACCTTGCGAGGCCATCGCTAGTAGGTTGCAGGCCACCGCTATTATAAAAAATGCAGCAATAAAAGGAATAAAGTTTGTACACGCCTTGCGAATCGCATGGTACCTGCCCGGGCAGTCCTCGGCTTTGAGGACTTTGGGTGAGCTGGCAGGCCAACCGCAGAGATGGCAGTGGAGATGGCCTCCAGCGGCAGAGCTGAGATGGACGGGGAGGTTCCAGCGAACTGCGGAGAGTCTGACTCACTGCCTGCAGTGGTGGAAAATCATGTTACTGTACTGTAGTAGTAGAATAGGGGCAGTTTTCGTGACCATCCATCATCAATTTGCACAGCATGGTTTCCAGAGTTCCATGGGAAATGGAAAAGGCTCAAATTCCAATGCAAAGACCCATTCTGAGAGGGTTCAAGACAAGATCATCAAGAAGCCAGGTCTATACAATACAAAGGTACACACGGGTCACCTCATCCCGAAGTCGATTTCCCGTGGAACTTCCCCACCAGGTCATCAGCCAAGACTAGGTTGTGGCAGTGTACCTTTTTGAGGTTTCAGATGCAAAGATGTATAAAGTTTACCAGACTGTACAGATCGCTCCACATCCCAACGAAAGCGCTTACAAGGCAATGCGAAAATGACATTGAACAAGACGGATCCCCAGATTTGTATAGCCAGAAAACGACTCGTCAAGAAAAGGACCACAAGGCCCGAGGGTCCAGCGACTTCCAGGTCCAATGACTTCTTCTTGGCCAGCCGCAGCATGCCCTGGTGGGCCGTGGGGCTCCTTGGTCGCAGCATTAAGCATTATGATGTTTGTCGAATCACCAGACATACAGGAAAGTAAAATAGATGGCGAACCAAATCTGTTGATATCCCAAGCATGCCATCATTGGAGTGGTATATTAGAGCTACCACCAAAACATGTGATGACCAGTTTAGTAAAGTAAAGAATCGTAGTGAATTTCAGGAATTTGGCAAACACCTGCAAAAGCGATTGTCCCCCTCAAATGCGATAACCTTGTGGAATAATGTATTTTTCGTTAGAAGATGTTGTGGCAGACGCTCATATGAATGATCCAGTGTGATTTTTTGGTCTTGGCTTTTGAAGGGTGTTGATTCTTCTTGCTTGCTGGAGATGCGTCTATTTATACTTCAACATGTTTGGTTGTTTCTTTATGCGATGGATTATCGGATATCTCTTTATATGTGGAACAAAGAGCCATAGAGCGAATGGTGTACGGAGGAGTGATGAAGGATCCCTGAAGAAATCGAGGATGGGGAGAGCTTCTGAGTTTTTAGAAGGTCAAAGGAGTTTGGTTGATGGATCACACTAGCATCTATAAAACGGCAGCTGAACGAGGAAGGCCTAGATTTGAAGAGAGGTGCGGCCAATCGAAGCGAGTGAGGGGCCATTTCCAGGGAGCTTGCCAATGCCAACCGCTACTGTAGGGCCGCTAGGTATGAGTGACCAAGTTTCTTGAGTCTCTGACTTTTGTCCGGTGTTTCGCCGAGACTTTGTGACCAAGCCTATCCCAGAGTTGTTGGATTCACACCGCGTCCAGTTGGTTGCAAGATGTTGCACCTACTCTTTGGGGCTTCAATTATATACAAATTAGTTCGGGAGTCAGACCCTGACGAAGGAACCACAGGAATTTGCTCTCCCTCAATTTGGGAACCTTGTTCGGCCCAGTGGCCCAGGTAATGCTCCTTTGGATTGAACCTTGACAATCGATATGCTACTGCCAGAGCTGGTTTCCGACATGGATGATAGATTCAGGTATAAGATGGTATAAGAATGCGACCCCCGACCCATCCATGCTTCAAACACACATATGATATTCTTTTTTGATGCGTTGTCCTGCACAAACACTGGTACTGGTTGGAGGCTAAAACACAGTCGACGACATACCAAGCCTTCCACTTGACTGTGAGGCCATCGTCAGGTTAATGATAAGCTCATGGCACTCGAAGTGAAGCTTTTGGTAGGCATCAGGCATCCATTCTCTTGAGTATTCATTTCCTTGGTCGTCAGTGGTGATAGTGGGTCATCGGGGTGGGTGTTCTCCACTGTAAGCGCTTTGTCTTAGTCCCTGTCGCTTTGGTGCGGTTTCTTCTTGTGATGCTGTCAACTTGTCGCTGTTGCTGTTGCTGTTGTTGTTGCTGCTGCTGCTGCTGCTGTTGTGGCAGTGATGGTGGAGGTGGATATATGCCACAAAGCCGTGGCATTTAGTGACCTACTGACCTTGTGGGATTTGTGAGAGTGTTGGGTGTTCAAACCAGGACATGAGTCGTTGCCTGACCACCCACACTACATGACAGTCGACAAGAAATGGAACCCGCCCTGCACTCCGTGATATTTCAGTTTTGAGCCAAGCTCCTCGCACTGGGGCTCCTGTGATGTTGGTCAAGCTGGGGTCAGTACACACTTCGCAGATGCTGAACATGGCCAGACGCTTTCATTTGCACCATACACAATCACAGCAAACTGCATAAATCGATTCAGCCTTCAGCATTCCCTTGCGCCCGTAGCCCTTACTTGTTCCAGCCATGAGCGACCTTTGGGCCGTTTTGTGCGGTTTGCTTGTCTTTGCTCTGATGATGGGCATCCTGTGGGTGGATTTTCGCCGTTTGGGCCGGAGTCTTGGGATCTTGGGCAAAGCCACAGAGCTCGATGTGGAGAGGCAGGCAAACGACGGGCCCTGACTTGCTGCCGGGGTCGCATGATTCACATTTCTGCGGCAGCAGAATCAGGGTGCGAAAAAGAATGAAACAGATCATGGAAGAACATGGAAGAACCACTTCAAGGGCAGTCACTGTCATATTGATAGTCCATTTTTTATTTGAGTCCCTTTTTATTGAGCTTGCGACCTGGAACACTTCGGACCCTCAGGTGGATTCAGAATCAACTTCCATGTGTGCACACGGATGGTGAGTTGATGTGCGCGATTTGCTTGGACCAACTCCAATTCGATGAACGAGTGAAGCAGCTGCCATGCCAACACTGCTATCACAAGGAATGCTTGATGACATGGGGATCCCAGAGATTCTGCAGGGAGTTTAGCACCTCAGCACTCGTTTGTCCTCTTTGCAGGCAAGAACACATTTTCGCGTGAACACGTGAATGAGCAATTTGATAGAAATGGTGCAGAATGAGAGCGGTTCAATTGAACTGCGATGTTGGAGGTGATCGGAGGAGTGTTCAAGCAGAACAGCCCTTTCCGACACATCACTGAGTGTCATCACCGCTGTTAGATTCATTCATGCCGTTTCTCACACATGCTCAGCAAGCTGCAGCAGACTCGATTGCATGGAAAGCCAGAGGACATTAGATGGGTGTGTCCCTCCGCAGAGCGCTAGCTGTTGGTTGCGTGCGCCAGTCGTTCGTCACTTTTACGAACAAGTTTTAGACAGTTCCCATTGTTGCATTGTCCATCTTGCCCGTGCATCCGAGTCTGCTCTCATGAGAGATTGCTCTGGGCGGGGCTCCTATGCAATGCAGCCTCGGGCTTCAGCTTGATAGAAAAGCTTGCCCACCCATGCTGACTTGTCCAGGAGATTGTGGGACTGCCCCACCCTGTAACAGTCATGAGTCAAATCAGGAGTCAAAATAGACATTAAATTACAGTATATAATCATTAATCATTGAAGCGCCTTTGTATGCCTTTGTCAAAGAACGCGTCAATGATAAATTTCCCAGTCATCGTGAGTTGTTCCAAAAGGGGTAGGGAGAGCGACAAGAATTGGAGATCTGTGAACCCCAGTGAGTCAGCAATGTTCAGGTGTTCCAAGTTGGTCTAAGAATCTGCCTCGGCCGCAGCACTGAGGCTAAGCATTTTTGCGGCTTGGGCTCAAGAGGAGAGTTTTTCACAATCACCCAAGCGACGTGTTGGGATGAGTTAGGATGTATCTACTGTAGATTCTAGAGCGATTCATTTTGTTGAAGGCTTTACGTCATTGCTGGCCTAGACTTGGACATGTCCACGGCATTTTATCTTTTTGTCATGTGAACGATATGGACGAATCAGTTGGAAGGACCCTGACTTTTCGGTCTGTTGACTACTTTTTCTTTCGGGGTTGTCAATATGCAAGTTATATTCATTTTACAGGAACACCTGAAAAGCACATGAGAACATTGTAGAATTAGATGGCTCCTGGTGTTCAATAAGTTCTAAACATTCAGAAAGGATGAAGATGCCACCCATGGTTGCAATTTATTTACTGTAACTATATTTCTTTGCCCAGAGCCATCAGAGCCATATGCGGCAATTACAGTGAATATGTATAAATATCTATATAAATAAGTACAGTATATATGTATATACATATATGATATATGTTTATATGTGTTTATCCGTGTTTTGTCCCGTTTTACCGGGCCCTCTTGACGTCTGAGGCCTCGAACATCGGCACAGAGCACTTCGTGGGACAAGCAGGTGCCGCCGCGGAGGGCGGCCTAGCGGTGGCCATTTACGAATGGTCAGCAGGCGAGCAGGGTGAGCAACGGGCTGTGTGTGGAGAAGAAGCGATGCAGGTGGAGAGGGTGGGACAGATGGTGCGACCAGGGGTGAGGTGTTTCAAAGGTAAAGTTGAAATTCAATTTGATTGAATATGAAGTTGGTGCAGTACAGATCTCACATAGGCCATATCTGATTTCACTCTTGTAGTATGTAGGCTTCTGGTCATTATGGATCGCAGGTGATGTGGAATTGGGTTCAAACACTGGACGGATCTACAATTTGATGGACGTCAAATATGGAGATTCGATGAGATTCCCGTGACCTGACAGGAGAGTCTCTCTTCTGGACCAAAGAATTGGGAAGGGTTAAACATGTTAAACCTCATGTCGTCCCGTATCCCTGCACCTGCCCTGCTCTATCACGGTGAAAACAGAGAACAAGCCCACACAATGGACTTTTGACCGGGGTATGTGATTGAGAGGCTTGTTAGGAAATCTCGAAGGGTTCCAGCACCATTTTCCTTGAAGGTTGGGGCCGAAGTACTTCTTATTTAATGTGGGCGGTACAGTTTGAGTCAAGGAAAGTACTTGTTACTTGTCCAGTTTGATTGTGGTTGTTTCTTTTTTATCTCTCATTTGTGTCTTGCTCCACCTTCACAAAACTCTTCCAGATTTACAAGGATACTTGTGCTCACACAAACTAGCAAATTTACATCCAGCAAAAGCATCCAGAAGCACCATCGGCTCTTCTAAATTGCTCCCAACACAGTGCAGCGCCTTTGAGTGCCTCTGGGCGGCGGAGGTCTGCTGATCTACTTCTTAGGCTTTGGCTTGGCACCTCTCTACCTGGGCCTCGACCTCACCACCACGCCCCAATGGTTTGAGACCCGCTTCCCACCCGAAAATTGGGCGGGGATGGGAGGGGCAGGTCCAAGCACAGTTGAACATTGGCAGGTTCAAGGTTCTCGCAGAGGTGGCTTTGAAAACATGGTGAAGGAATGGGAGCTAATTACCGGAGAACTGGGTGAAATTGGGTGAAGCTCACTTATAGATCATTCTGGAACTATTGGTCAGCGGCCCGTACGGTGGTTGTGACTTGAGTCTTGAAGTGCTTGTCAAAAGGGCTAGTATCTTAGCAACGCAGCAGCATTGCTCCTTTGAAGTATCGGTGGCACTTAGGTTTCAACACTGAGTGCAGAATGGTGCTGGCTTTCGTGTCGATTGTCGCCTATGACCCTTGGAAGAAGTTGTCCTTGGATTGGTTTGACTGATAGTGGCACGGGACACCTGCGAAGGATCATCCTGCAAAAGACATGGGTTTTGACCTTTAAAGAGGAGTTGTCATGAGTTGTCTTTCCTTGTAAGACTATACTAGACAGGGTCGCTTTCCCTTGCCTGGTGCTCTGGAGAACGTGGCTAATTCTGATGATATTGTCTTGCTTTAGTACACTCTTGTACACCAGGAATCAGGATGTCTCAATACCGTAATTGTTTGCTCCCTCATTCAATTCAAGTCAATTCCGGGCTTCTCCATCTCTATACTATAAGGATCCATCTTGACATGCGGTGTAAGAACAGCTAGTGTAAGTTAAGTTTCCCTAAAAATCTAGGAACCAAAAGAATAGCGGCGGGGGGAGCTCCCTTGAAGACGCGTGAGCTAATCCTGCGTCCTGTCAGTAGTAGCGTACTAGCAGCTACTAGCTACCTTTTGCTTCTACTAGCTACCTCTTCCTACCTCTTCTCGGCCAGCCCCCCCAGGCAGACAAAAAGCAGAACATTATTATTTGAATATTATATATTATATATATATAACCTTATGCACTTTTTCCGTTCAAGGTTGTGACGAAGATTGCTGCCAGCCTTTTCGCGGGTGCTTTGCTCTTCGAAGTCATGCTTGGCATCTCCATGTGGACCAGCGTGCAGCTTGGATGCTGGGAGATTGCGTCCACCTCTTGTGACGCTTCTGTTTCCAACTCCTTTCTTGTGAGCATGAAGGCCTTGATCGGCGCAATTGAGATACGGAGAACTGGTACTGTCGATGAATTCGCCCAGTGGACTAAGGTGTTCCCTCATTTTGTTCAGCACCCATCTCCAAATCTCCACCCACAGAAACACCTTTTAAGGTGAGCAAAACGCTTAATCGGTGCGCGTGTCTCAAAATCCCCCAAACTCATGGGTTGGTGGTCGATGCTCTTCAACCTTTCAACCCACCAGGAGACCTTGAAGGGGCTTCCAACAGTTTCCAATGTGTTCTTCTTTCACCTCCAATGCTTCGTTTTCAACTCCAATTCTTCGGCGTGAGGCCCTTCATCCTGGCCTTCACCGCTGTTTACGCCGCCTCAGGTGCCGGATGTTCACGGATCAGCCGGGATATCTCTGCAGATTTGGGGAGAAGCGGGGAGAACAGGATCATGTTTGTTTTGACCCAAAGCGGCTCTTGTACGCTTGTGATTGATCATGTATAATATTGTAATATCAGTTGCAAGACCGACCAGACTTGCGTTGTTTTTGTATGTTGCTGTCATGTGTCCTGGCAATCACACTGACTTAACTCTTAGATGCTTGGGTGATGTCTCCATTTGTTTCTCTGGGACCGCGTCCTCCATCCTCCATCCTCGCTGAGGTGGCCTGAAGGCAGTGATGTACACAGATGTGGGACAAGCGACGATCTTCATCCTGGGTGGCGTCGTTGGGATGGTCTTCTCCTTTGGACAGATAGGCGGATGGCAGAGATTTGCTGGAGCTCGGGGAGAGTGGAAGGGGTCAGAGAGGACGACAGTGTGACAGACAAGCTTCAAGGAGGACGAGCTCAGCGGATTTTGCTTGATTTAAAGTCAGCTTTGAGCTTTCGAGGTATGTAGTTTGACTGTGTGGCACCAGGGTCCCACTACCACCAGATCGGGATTTTTCGGATTAGCCTGCAGCAACTTTCCGAGGCCTCGGGTGTTGACTCACATTCCGACACAATCTTAGTTATACGTCATACAGACATAATTACTACAGTGGACTCTACTTGGAATGTGCCATGGATAGTTTTATATAGCTGATTCAAGTTTAAGTGTCCTTTAGCAGTAGGGTCCATACAATGGTGTCCTGGACCGAATTGAGTCGTGAGGCGGCTTTTCTGGTTTGGTAGACACGCTGGAGGTCAATGGCTTGCCGCTTGATGATAGTGAGTTGAGGCTGGAATAGAATGGTCACCGTACCCCCAACGGAAACAACAAGCTACCAGCACTCCAACTCTGTTAGTAGGTTGGAGGCCATCGCTAGTAGGTTGAAGGCCATCGCTAGTGGGTTTAAGAAGCAAACGTTGTTTTTAGAAATGCAACTTGCTGGTCTACACACAGTGCCTCCCCCCAAAGAGACCAAAAAGTGAGCAGCCTTTGAGCATAGTTGGGGCCTCTTGAGTCTACTTTCAGTGCTTCAAACAGAACAAACACGAAAGTAGTCTTGTGACAACTAATGCAAAGACTGAAGGTAGGGCCCCTTGAAGGGGCCCTTGTTAAAGGCACCCTCTCCATTGATTTATGTCTCATCTCAGCGTTGATATATGGTCCAATGATGTCCAATGGTCTATCTAGAAACCCCTAGATTTGCTAGAGCTGAGCCTTGTGACCTTGTGAAGGTCTTGAAACAAGCGAGATGTGACATTACATGAAAAAGGACCGGTTGCTTTGCCTGGATTAAATCAGCCACAACCTGCAGCCAAACATTGTAACCCCTAAGGAATGGCTCTTCCCGAAACCCTCACAATATTCACAGTATGGATTTCCATGCATTCTCCTACTTTCAGACCCACAAATGAATCTACGAAGGTTATTTTAAGAACATGTCACCAGAGTGGAGTCAGAGTGGAGTAATCTTGCTTTTCGCGAGCATTGGGTTAAGTCCAGAGAAGTGAGGAGAATCTCGGGGACATCCCCAACCCAGAGAGCATTGGGTTTCCATCTACTGTACGTTTCCATTCCGGTCCTTGGCCTAGGAGCCAGATGATGAGGACCATCCGACCAATTTCAGATCCGCAATATCCAGTTACAGGTGCCAGCGGATGATGTGCTTTCCTTGGAATGAGCCTTTTTAGGAGTTTATACAATGAGTTAATGAGTGGATCAAGAAAGGTACATGGATTTGGTGAGAGGTGGGCTCTGAAGGGTGCTTTGACTCAAGAGACTGTTGTATTCAGATGACCAAGGGATGGGTTCGGTGGACAACTGCCTGAGTTGTTTGCATGAGCCTTCCTAAACGGCTTAGAGGATAGACTCTGCTGTTCATTGACTGCGCGGCACATGCTCTTGCAGTATTGCGCAGTCTTCAGATTGATCAAATCTTCACACAAACCTCTAGGCTACTAGGAGCAAGGACGCTACTAGGTGGAGACCATCGCTACTGGTAACAAGAAGCTACTAGGAGCGCATAAAAACTTCACTGTTCCAATTCAGGACCTCCCAAGTGACCAAGTGTTGATGGCGGATAGATTCCATGGTCGTGAATGAGTCAAAAGCTTCTGGAAATCATTGGGTCATCAGCGTGGCCACCAGTAAGGCCAGGAGCCCTAGTAGCGTCCTTGCTCCTAGTAGCGATGCCAGGAGCCCCTAGTAGCTTCTTGCTCCTAGTAGCCTTTGTTAATGTTGTGCTAAAATTCATGTGTGAAAAGTGGCGATTGGTGGGAGCCCACGCTACCGCGCTACGCCCATGCTGGCCCCCTGGCTTCGCATTCAGGCATGCTTCTGAGTCAACCTTTGTGCTCCTGCTGGTATTGGTGCGTCGACCAAACCATGGTGCAGCGCATCCTGAGTGCCAAAGGATCGAGCCTGAGAGTTCTCATGTTGGATGATAGAGCTATAGAACTGTGCGCAGAAGGATTTTGGAGGTCCTGGAGACTTGAGAGAGCAATTGAACAGATTCCTACTAACTCAAGAAGTGTCATTGATTCAAAAAAACAAGCAATTATGATGGTAATTATTGTTACACGCTTCATTCCGAATTTATATAGTGACTCCAATCAATTGGGATGCCGCTCATGGCGGTCAAGACCCTACTACCGGGTGTCCTTTAGAGTTCCCAGAAGTCCCGTTTTGCTTTGACTGGTCGACTGCTTCAACACAGGAGTGCCTCACGCACGAAAGGGCTGCCTTCTTGCAGGCCGAACTGGGACCCTGGATCACCCAGGGTTGAACATCCGACGAACTTCCGAGGGGAAGTGACTGTTTGCCAATCTCTTGGGCCTGAAAGAGCATTCCCTGAAAATCTGATGGACTAAATGTTCAAATTTATTTTCTGAAAGCCAACTTCGGCTAATATCATTTTAGTTAGCTCATGTTAGCTCAATAGCAAGGAGGATACTTTTACTAGATTCTACTAGCATTGGTTTTCTGGCTTCGTCGTTTACTTCAGGGTTAACATGCACGGATCAACAGGTGTTGGACAGGACTTTATTCTTTTCGTGCCTCTATGACTTGATTTTTGGAGGCCGTGAAGTCAGACACCCTGGGGTCTTAAATCAACAGATCCCCTCTTCCAAGGATTTCTGAGGCTTCGCTGTTTCAGAGGGGATCGAGTGAGAATTCCACATCTCTGCCGTTGAATTAAAGCGGCAACCAGACAAAACCTAGCTGAGTGTCTCTTGCATTTTCAACTTCGTGTGAGGCTACTTGAAGATCCTGCCCCCATTCCTCATGGTGCTACTGGGCTCAAACAATGTGATGTAGCTGTCAGTCAAGTGCCTCTGCCTTGGCGCTTGGCATAATTTACAAACTGGATTGTGCTTGTTTTGTTTCATTCTTTCAACACATCGCAGGGTGCAGTACAGGATGTTTTTGCATTTGTGCGGCGAAGCCTTCTTTGAAATTTGGAAACAAGGTGGATATAGCAACTGACGCCGCAGTTTGGTCTTCCACTGCCAAGCTGTTTTCGT